CGCTCCCTCAGTACCCCTCCCGGGCCCTGGCCCCGGGCAGGGCAGGCCTCGGCGTGACGGGCTGCTGACCAGGCTGGCCCCAGGCACTCACCGTAAATGGGCCGGAGGCGCCTGTCGTTAGGGTCCTGCACATGGCCCCGCGTCGCCATGATGACAAGCGCAGAACCGCAGTGCGCACGCGCCGGTCGGGCCCCCGGGAAGGGGCTGTTAAAGGGCCAGCGTCGAGCCGGCCGCGGTATCGCGATAGTCGAGGGGCTGGGGCCGAGACTATGCGCGCGTGCGTGCGCGCGCAGGAGCGGAAGTGCTCCCCAACCCGTCTCCCGTCCCCGGCGCCCCTCTAATCTGTCCCGCTCCGGGAAATCAGCTGACAAGTGGGAAATGCTACTGCACCGGGGAAGAGCAGGAGAAAGGTCTGGGCCGAAGTCAGGGCCGGGCCGGCCCCGCCTCTTTATCCCATTGGACCTCTGTCCCGAAGAACCAGTTCGGCCGGCCTAGGCGGCGCGGAGGGATCGAGGCCCGGGCCAGGCGCGCCGGCTCGCACCCCTCCACCGGGCCACCTGCCCAGCCCCAACGCCCTGAAAACACGAAACGAAGCCAAAAGCCGGGCTTGGATTAACTGTTGAGTTGTTGAGGAAAGGGGAATCCTCAGGAACCCCGACCCCAGGAAAGTACGGAAAAGAGGGCGGAGAGCCCCCTCCCCGGGCCCAGCCACCCCGGGGGGTGCCTCACGTGGACACTAGGTTACGCTGGGGGCTCACCCCGGTCATCCTAGCTACACCGGACTCTGAGATCCGAGGATCAAGGTTCGAGGCCAACCTGAGCAGGGAAATCTGTGAGAGACTCTCCGATCTTTCCTAACCCGCTGATCTCCAGTGAACTACTAGAAAGCCCGAAGTGGAGCGCTGGCTAGTGCTTGCCTTGCACGCATGAAGCCCTGGGTTCGATTCCTCAGCACCGCATAAGCAGAAAAAGCCGGAAGTGGCGCTGTGGCTCAAGTGGTAGAGCGCTAGCCTTGAGATAGAGCCCCAGCTTTGGAGGGATAAAAAGCCCAGGTTAGACTGGGAATGTGGCTTAGTGGTAGAATGCTCGCCTAGCATGAATGAAGCTCTGGGTTCGATTCCTCAGTACCACATACACAGAAAAAGCCAAAAGTGGTGATGTGGCTCAAGTGGTGGAGTGCTAGCCTTGAGCAAAAGAAGCTCAGGACAGTGCCCAAGGCCTGAGTTCAAGCCCCAGAACTGGCAAAAAAAAAAAAAATAGTTCATCTCACAGGCCCTGAATTCAAGACCCAGGGTGACACAGTAAATAAGTAAATAAAACTTTGCTTAAACTGGGCGTCGGTGGCTCACGCCTGTAATCCTAGCTACCCAGGAGGCTGAGATCTGAGGATCTTGGCAGGCCCAGGCAGGCAAGAAAGAAAAGGCAAGCAGAAACAGCTGGAAGTGGCACTGTGGCTCAAGTGGTAGAGTGCTAGCCTTGAGCTGAAGAGCTGAGGGACAGCGCTCAGGCCCAGAGTTCAAGCCCCATGACAGGAAAAAAGAAAAACAAAACCAAACAACCCTTTTGCTCACTCTGGCTGAGGTTATTGGGAAACATTTAAATATTCCCCAAGATAAAGTTTATCAGACAAAACACAGTGTAACATTGGGAACATACTCATACATGATTATTTATCTGAAATTCAAATTCAGTTCGATGTCCTGTATTTTTGTTTGCTAAATCTGGTCATTCTATCTCAGGGAGAACGTCACCGTCACCATACTATAACCAACAAGGAAGGGAAGGGTGGGAGCCTCAAGTAAGTTGACCCCTGGATCTCTCTGAGAGGAAAGTGACCTGGCTGAGATGGGAGTGGAGGGAGGAGACCTGGGGTTCACCTTTGGTGCAAGTGAGAGATGGAGGGGGCAGGGAATGTGGCTCCGTGGTAGCATGCCTGCCTAGCGTGCATGAAGCCCTGGGTTCAATTCCTCAGTATCACAAACACAGAAAAAGCTGGAAGTGGCGCTGTGGCTCGAGTGGTAGCATGCTACCCTTGAGCAAAAGAAGCTCAGGGACAGCGCCCTAGGACTAGTAAAAGAGAGGGGGTGGGGAAGGGGAAGAAGAGAGAGAGAGAGAGATGGGGGAGTCACCTGGGATTTTCAAAATTTTCCCAGAATGGAAAAACACAGCACCCTGCGGAGGGGGTCACGGGAGGCACCTGGCAAGGGCTGCTGCTGTCGCGTTACTCAGTTCTGTTTTTAGGTTACCTTGGTTGGCACAGCACCAGAGAAATGCTGGGAGGCTGTGCATAGGCTCCCTTCACTTGGCCAGGCCAGAACATGGTGTGGACCTGCTGACAGACACTTCTGGAACCTGAGGTTAGCACCCTTAGTGGAATATATTTCCTTGTATGCTGGAAGCCAGTTTAACCTGCAGGTGGGAGGAATTATTCCTTCTCTTCTCCCATTTCTCTCCCTTGTTCTCAGAGCCTAGGAATGAAGCAAGGTTGCAGCTCAGTGCCTGTCCTCTGCCCCCTGGATGGCAGCCTCCACACCTTGGAAAGGTCATTCCAGTCAAACAAGCCGAGGAGCCAAATGTCCATCCTTGAAACTCTGAGAGAAGGTATTATGGGGTGGTGCTTGCTCAACATGCATCAGGTATTCCCATTTTCTCAACTTAATCCTGGCAAGTATGTACTTCATTCAGAGGCAGATTTGCTCTGGTGAGAAGTTTCTCCCTGTGCTTCAACTGCTGGGGACATGGTGGTGGTTCTAGATCTCTCCACCAATAACTCTTCTGGTTTTTCTCTGCAGCCTTTATTTTTGTGCCAGTACTAGGACTAGATCTCAGAGTCTTATGCCCTTGGGTAGTATTTTTTCACTCAAGGCTTGTATTCTACTACTTGAGCCACAGTCCCTTGTTTGTTTGTTTGTTTCTACATCTCCACTTTTATTTTGGATTTTTGGTGGTTAATGGGAGATACGTTGCTTAGTGGTAGAGTGCTTGCCTAGCATGCATGAATCCCTGGGTTCCATTCCTCAGTACCATATAAACAGAAAAAGCCAGAAGTGGTACCATGGTTTAAGTTGTAGAGTACTAGCCTTGAGCAAAGGAAGCTCAGGAACAGTGCCCAGGTCCTGAGTTCGAGGCCCAGGACTGAGAAAAAGAAAGAAAGAAAAGAAAAGAAAAAAAAAAGAAGGAAAGAGGAAGGAAGGGCAGGGCAGGGAAGGGAATTACAGACTTTCTTGTTGGGGCTGGTTTTGAATCATGATCCTCAGATCTCAGCCTCCGGAGTAACTAGGATTATAGGTGTGAGCGCCTGGCTAGTTTCCTGCACTTTTGACAGAATTAACAACAGTGCTGACTCTGAAATCGAATCGATTCGACTTCAAACCCAGGCTCTAACCTCTCTTGACTGTGACCTCCTAAGCAAGTGACTACAAAGCCCTGAACTTCATCTGCAAAATTATAACAAAGGACCCTACCTCATACAGCCAAAGAATAGACTCTGGTCCTGGTCCATATAAAGAAGCAGACACAGACAGACATGGTAGTGCATCCCTGTAATTCCAGTACTCAGGCTGTGGCAGGAGGATTATGGGTTTGAGGAAAGACTGAGTTACATAGAGACATGCTGTCTCAGGAAGAAGGAAACTGGAGGAGGAGGAAGAGGAGAGAAAAGATTTTATCTTTTTTTTTGGTACTGGGGATTGAACCCAGGACGTTGCACTTGCTAGGCAAGCGCTTTGCCACTGAGCTACATCCCAGCCCAAGAAAAGATTTTTAAAAAGCACAAAGGAAGAAATCATTAACTGGGTATTGGTGACTCATCTCTATAATCCTAGATCTCAGGACATTGGGATCTGAGGATCACAGTTCAGAGCCAGCCCAGGTAGACAAATCTAAGAGCCCTATCTCCAATTAACCAGAAAAAGCCGTAACTGTTGGCATGATTCAAGTGGTAGAACACCAACAGTGAGCAAAAAAGCTGAGCAAGAGCTTGAGACTCTGAGTTCAAGGCCCAGGACTGAAAAAAAAAAAAAAGTACAGGCAGATCAAAGCAGAGAATTACAGAACTGAAAACTAGAAGTTGAGATAAATTTTAGATATGGTCTTGATTTTACCAGTAGTTGAAGGAGTGAATTTTTCCCAGCAGAAAAAAAGAGGATGGGGCCAGGTGCTGGCGGCTCATTGCTGTAATCCTAGCTATCTGGACGCTGAGATCTGAGGAGTGAGCTTCTAAGCCAGCCAGAGCAGCAAAGTGTATGAAACTCTTATCTCCAATTAACTGCAGCACAAAAGCAAATGGGGCGGGTGGGAGGGGAGGGGGAGAATAGAGCACTTTCAGGCTCAATCCTTTTTGCTGCAGCTTCGCACTTCCAATTCTGTCCACCAGATGGCACACAAGTTCCAAGTTGATCAAACCATTTTCCACATGAAAGGAATGTCTCATTTTGTTTTTCCTGTTTAAGCAAACAGAATATTAATGTCATATATTATATATTACCAATCATTATTATTATATATAACATCTATATATCTTTGATACTCTAATTTCAAATATAGTTTTGTTATATTTTAATAATTTTACTCATCTTTATCAAGGTATAATTTATAACATTCACCTGTTTTAGTTTGGAATTTATTTTTTAGTACCCGTCCTGGGGCTTGAACTCAGGGTCTGGGCACTGTCCCTGAGTCTTTTCATTCAAGGCTAGAGCTCTACCATTTGAACCACAGCTCTACTTCCAACTTTTTGGTGGTTAATCGGAGATAAGAATCTCACAGAATGCCGGGCGCTGGTGGCTCACGCCTGTAATCCTAGCTACTCAGGAGGCTGAGATCTGAGGATCGCGGTTCAAAGCCAGCCCGGGCAGGAGAGACTGTGAGACTCCTATCTCCAATAAACCACCAGAAAACCGGAAGTGGCGCTGTAGCTCAAGTGGTAGAGCGCTCGCCTTGAGCTTAAGAGCTGAGGGACAGCGCCCAGGCCCAGAGTTCAAGCCCCACGACCGAAAAAAAAAAAAAAGAATCTCACAGATTATCCTTCCTGGGCTGGCTTCAAATCACAATCCTCAGACCTCAGCCCCCTGAGTAGCTGGGGTTACAAGTGTGATTACAAGTGTGATCCACCAGCACTCAGCACTGTTTCCATTCTTAACACGTGAATCTTTGT